TAACCAAAAAGCCCAAGGGAATATACTTTTCAAGTCATGTGCATAAATCTTCTAAAGAAATATCTCAACTCTAGCATATTTTGGACTGCAGCATGTACTCACCTGTGGCCAAATCAATAAAGAGGAAAAAAAATGGGGGGAGTTAGAGCAGAAGATAAAAGCTCCACCATATTTAAGACAATATCATAATCTTAATGTTCCCTATATGGTAATATGGCTATAACCCTGCAGGAAAACAGCTGAGATTAGGCTTGTGTGAGCACTGAGTGCTTGTACACTCAGCCGAGTGTGTCGTGTATTCAGCCCTGAACAGATAGCTGTTCTCCCAGAATCTGCCTGAGTGCTGCACCATGACGGAGCGGAAAGCTGTGCTCAGCTACTTCTGGATCTAACAACTCATTGGACATTACCCACTAAAATTAAAAACAAAGTTTGGGCTCAGAATTTAACTCACATTTATGCAAATGTGTTGTTTTTTTTTTAAATATTCAGACGGAACAGCAAACACTCAGCATTCATCTGATGTGAACGACCATGAACACCAAAAAGCAGAGATCGGCTGAAATATGCATGATGGGGAGGGGGAAGGAAAAAAAGCTTCTCGCCATAACACACAGGAATATGTGCCTTCTTCTCTCGAAGCATGAAATATTGATGGCGGCAGCATTCAATGGCGCAACGACTCGACCACTGGATGGAGTTCACGTCTAATTTTGGACTGAACCCAAGAGACCAGAGCTTCCAGAAAGAGATGGCTGTTTAACGTGGAAATAAATGCTTTCTCTTACTGTATCAGAAACTGGATGTTGGTATTTTACTATGTGGGGACATTTATGCAACCCACTCTGCACAAATTTAAGAATTACCCAATGTTTAGATTCTTTAATTTGTACAGGAGAGTTGCATCCAGATTTATGTTTTTTAAAGATGTCTAAACATTTTAAACCGGAGCTCTTCTACGCCCGGGTGACAGCTTTGGAGATATTGCTGGTTTTGTGAATTCTTTCTGCACCTCCCTCTCCGAACCCTTAAGGCCACAGGGTTTCCAGATCCAAATCATAGGGAAAAAAAGAAGATATGTTTTCTTTAAAAAAAAAAATAAATAAAGCAGTGTAACATTTGTGTTAATTCTGTTGTGTAATTCTAAGCTGGCTAAACAGGTTAAATCATCCTCAGCACTTTAACCCGCCCATCTGATATGCATAACTTTGTCAGAACCCCTCAATTCAGCTGTTAAAAGTAGATTTAGTAGTTTATTGTAGATTTTTAACCACACATTCTGCTCTTAATAGCATTTATGTAGACCAGCAGGGACATGGAGCAGCTTTTCGACATCTGGGAGGGAAAGAATGGGACGGAGTCTGTAGATATTCTGGAGATGGTAAAAAGAAGTCCAGCAGAGGTGATCTACATAGGATTCTGAGTTAAGTTGGGATTAATTTTCCCACTGAGGTTTGAGACTACTGTTAAAAGAGGGATGATGGAGCTAGAAAAGGTTATACTGTTTATGGATCATGACTGTGTCTGATGCGGTTGCTGTTTAGATAAAACTGTGCTCCATCCATGCACTTATCTCCTCCATACAGGCAGTGAGTTGTGATGGAGATGATTAAGTTGATGAGGGTGGGGTTGCAGCTGTGGCACTTACATAAAGTTGTATGTCATCTGTGTAACAATGAAATGAGAGATCATAACGGCAGATGATGATGTGGAGTGAGGTATATGATTAATAGCAGGGGCCCCAGAAATGACCCCTGAGGAACACAACAAGTAACTGTAGTGGGACTGGATGTGGGGTGATCCATAGAGATGTATTCTGTCTGGTTTGTCAGGTAGGAGTGGAACCAACTGAGCAGTGGGAGTCAGTCCAATGGTGAAATGGAGACTGCTTAACAAAATGTCGGGGTTGAGAGTGTCAAATGGAGCACACAGGCCCAAGAGGATGAAGAGGGAGGAAGAGCCATCATCTGATGACATCCGAAGGTCGTTTGTGACTCTAATGGGGGCCTAGGCAGAAGTCTCCAGGTCCTAGGAACCCAATGTGGCTTAGAAATTGCTTCTTCTCAGCTTTACTTTCCTCATATTAATGGAAAAAGATGCAAAACAAGGATAAACATCAGTCAAGAGTGTTCAAGCCAAAATAAGGGAGCATTGGAGGGTCAGACTGTACACAAATGTTGCTGCATTTCTTCCAATTAGGAAAGTTAAACATTAGCATTAGCATTATGGAACAAGTCTGAGAGAGTGTGAATATGCAGCCTACTGGCTGGGAGGAGTTAAACTACTAATCACCTTTATATGCAGGTTAAATGATTTTTATTATATTTATGTCAGTAACCATCCCAGAGTCCTATGATCAAAATGCTCTCACCTATTAATTCGTTTTGCCCTGGATAAAGGTTGAAATCATTGTCCACAGATATTTTTCTGTTAGAAAAACAAAAACAAAACAATGAATTTGAACCATTAGGAGTATTTTAGTACCGTAGTTTAGGTCAATTTAAGAGCATGAAGACAGGAGGCCTAAAAGCCCGGCATTTGGAGGCAAATCTCCTACAGCTTTTAGATGCATGCTTTATCCAACCCACCTGAATAAAAGTAATACTCCTCCTCAGCATGCCGTAAAGTTTTACACATTTCATCAATGACATAATAACTTACAGCAAATAAGCATTTAACAGCTGCAGGATGGTATACCTTAATGAAACTGAAAAGTAAATCAGCTGACTAAATAGTAACTGCATTGTCAATATATGTTGTGTTAAATATTAATATCACAAAGGGCCGTTTGGAACACAATAATTATATTAAATATATTGTGAACTCCAACTTTAGATATTAATGTGATATAATAAGATTCCCCAGATGACTGGAGACAAGATGCTAAATGTCACAGAGACTGTTTGAGGCACAGATGAGAATAAGAGGAAAGAAAATCTGTTTTATTGCAACTGATATCAGCACTAATTACCCAAAGTCTTACCAACTCAGGATTCTCTAATATAGCTCAGCGCTGAAGTCCACTGACAACAATAAAATACAGTTTCTGTGATGCTTTCAGCTGTAGGTAAAACTAGCAGAGAAGTCAGAGACTATTGTCTGCAGCCGTAGTGTTTACCTGCGCAGGACTACAGAAGCTGCAAACATTCAGTCAGCTGACATTTTATGTTTTAAAGATGAGGGCAATGTTGTTGTTTTTTTATTATTACTTAATGATAACAATACCTGTCAAGGACAGCGGTACCCAGGTAAGCGGGACAGTGTGACATCACGGATTACACTAAAAACCACATCCAGCCTCAAAGGTAAAGTGTGACCCTTAAAAACAGAACATTTTACAGCAGAAAGGTGCAACAAAGTAAAAATAGAAAGTTTGCATCCCTGCAGGGAGGATGAGGATGAGTTTTTCTCTCCCAGTGATTGATGATTGTGTAAAACTAGTTGTTATAAAGAGAGTGAAGTTCTCTCTGTGTCCAAAATGTGAAGATATCACAGCGGCAGAGCGCACCGAGGACGCGCTCCTTCAATGACCGAAACCAGTAGACGTTCCATAATTCCTCATTAACTTAACGCCCTCAAACATTAGAAGAGCGGCATACATTTCACTCATCCGCTGACATCTCCTTAGCCTGCAACAGCGACTCTGTAACAAGCGTGAGGATCAAAAAAGGGCATCGCTAGCGTGATTTAGAGGAAAAGCTGACAAGTTGCATTTTGCCACCAGTTTTTCTCCCAGTCTGCAAGAAAAAACACACACACTCACACACAACCAGAAGACCCGCTGATGACACACACACCACAAAGAAAACCATTGTTCCTAATCTCCTTGTTCCAGTTTATTAGCTCGCTTTGAGAACGCTCGCTTTCAACACACACACTGTCAGAGATGGAAAAAAATAAACACTCTTCTGATCCGCTCCCCTCAAGAGGGCTTTGGGGCTCTCTGTTAACTCTCCGTCGATTGAGACAAGAGTCGACCTGGAAATGAAACAAAGGCCTGGATCCTCGCTCTCCTTGAAGTTATTCAGCAAAAAAATCTGTTGCAGCCTGCAGACACACACACCCTCACACATCCACACACACAGAAGAGGCTCGGTTTTCTTTCTTTGCCACTGATTTGCTCTCATTTTTCCAAAGCTTAATCGATCGGATTCCCTGGTCTGCCTGTAAACAATGAGCCCCTCTTCAAACACGCCATTAACCACGGGCCGTGAAAGTTCCGCTTTTATCAATAAAGATTTAACCTCTGCGATGAATCCAGACACTAATCATGCTGAGGTAAATGCCAGATGCAGAGACCCCAATTACCTGCTTGATACTGGCAAGGACAGAGGTTACATAAACACAGGTGGGGGCGGCGTAAAAAAAAAAAAAAACAATTACGGGTCGGCGCTTGTAATTAACACGGAGGAGGGAGATGAGGTGACTTGAGACCCATTTAAGCAACAAACTTCATCATTTACACAGAAAAATGATTAAAAAAACCCCGCTGCCATCTAAAGGTTCCTACGCCTTTTCTGTTATTATTGGTTTTGGAAGCTGAGGCTCCAGTGAGACCATTTATGGGCCTACTTCCCTGTTAGAGTGAAAATGTCGGCCTAATAAGTCACATGTAGCCCTGAACAAATGACCTGTGTAAAGGAGGCGTAATTGTCTTTTTACAGCAGCCTCTAAATCTCCCTATGACTTCCTGTGGCTGGCTCAGCCATGTCCTGCAGACTCCGGTTGCCTAGCAGCAGCTGTCCTCGACATGTTTCCTTTTGTTGTTCTTTTGACTGATGAGAAACAAAGTCAGCGATATTTCTATTTAATCCCACCGCTAATAGGCAGCACTATCAGAGATTGTTGCAGTGTGCATCTCAAAAAGAGACGGTGGGGGTTAAAAGATATTGGACTCAAAGATTTGTCGTCATTATCTGGGAAAGCGTCCATCAGAAGTGAGTTGTGTATTTCGGAGGTGAAACAGGAAGGAGAGAGGGCGTAGTAATGCCTGTGCTTACCCGATGCCATCTGCATGTACCCAGCCAGGGTGCAGATCCTCCTCTCGCAGCCTCCGCCTGGCAGGAAGATGGTGATGATGGCCAATAGGGAGCTGACCGCCAGCAGGGCGCATCCTCCTGAACAAAGGACGGCGCTGGTCTGAGGAAAAACACAACATATCTGGTTAGATCAAGGAGTTCAAATTAAAGATTTCCTATCAGATTTTTTAAAAAGAAAAAGCAATCTGGTCCCTTTGAGAAGTTTTCATACACCTTAAACATTTCTGCATCTATTTATTTCATGGTAGGGGTGAACATTTTTCCTATCGTTTATTGCTATGGTAATAAGTTTCTAGTAACAAGAAAATTTTTGATTTATCGTCTCAACCAGGGGTCTATAACCTGCAGCTCAGGAGCCGCAAGTGGCTCTTTAGACCCTCTACAATGGCGCATAATAGTGCCTAGAAATCATTAATAATTAGAAATAATAATCAGTATTGTGGAAGAAGTGAACCTCCACCTCAGTCTAGAAGTTTTCTTCCAGAATCAGTTTCTTGAGCTCCATCTGTCTACCCACTGCCATGTTTTATACTTTAGATGGGGGCCTCAGGGGGCTGAGCCGTGAACCTCTGCAGCTCCTTCACTCTTAAGTCGTGCACTGCGCGATTTTTTGTCCTTTTCGGGCCGACTTTCAAATGGTGGGAGAATTTTTCTATCAGCCCAACTTTTAGCCTGATCGTGCGTCTTGTAGTATACAGAGGGTAACGAGAGGCGATCAGCCTTTCACGACCACCTCCCGATCAGGAATCTGAGGTCGGGAGAAAATCAAACATGTTTAATTTTCAGTCAACCGTCGTGGGCAAATCGCTCAGTGTGCAAACAAGGATTCTTCTTCTTCCTCTCAGATGTAAACACAGAAACATGGCGGGGGTGCGAGTGAATTGGAGTTCTTCCTGTAAAATTGACAGACCGTGGTTGCCACGTTTGCTCAGCCATGTCTTTATCCAAATACGTCGCCGTGTTTTCTTTTTAGGGATTTAAGCACAAAATTACACAAATTGCCAAGGCAGCGCGGTTCACTCTAGTTTGCTTCATATTCCACTATTCCCCTTCTACTGGTTTGGCTTCTGGATAGACGAGTCTGAGTAGCGCCATCTCACTGCGGAGCTGAGTCCGACGCATTTTTTAGACGTATAGTGTGAGCAGGTAGATTGCATTGTGCTGCACATCGAGAGCTGTGAACTCACACTGTATGACGAAACCCCACGGTTTTTGTCACACTGTATGTGCGCGCAACGATTGAAAAAATCGCACAGTGTATGCCCGGCTTTAGGTTCTCCTCTGATTAATGCTCTCAATGTCCGGCATGTCAGGTGAGGCACATGTTCATGTCTTGATGGTGCAAATGATTGACCTAACAAAGCTCTATGTGATGTTGAAAGGGTAGAATATATATTTTTAGACTTGTCTCCACTTTTCTCCCTGTCTGCTGTTTTCCTTGGTCTTCATGATGCTGCTGTAGGTAAATAATGCTCTCTTCATAGAACAGATTTTTTTCATGCTGAGGTTAAATAAAATCTATGTTGGCTCAACTAATTTCCTAGGAGAACCTCCTCAGGTTATTTTTAGCACCTAGATTGAACATTTGTATTCAGTTGATCAGTGTTTTTGTGGATTCCATAAACACAAATTCTATTCATTTTGTCCTTCTTTCCCTTAATGCAGTAAATACAATTAAATTTTCGGATTTCCACGGACATAATGTAAAAAAAGTTTAAGGGGTGTGAATACTTTCTCCTGGTTTCTCACTATAAAAGATTATCCTTTCCATTAATATTTTTCAAACCATATTACAAAGTGTTTTTTTCCATTAGTGTAACATCACAGTCTGACTTCCTTGCAAGTTAATAACCATCTCAGCTGGAAATCAGCCCTCCAAGACCAAAGCAGAGCTACCTGTACCTGCTCATTACACCTCTACTTTATCACAAACACGCTGAGAGCAAAGCAGAGACAGAAGTTCCCATCAGATATAAATATACCAGGATAATTAAGGAAACTCCCATAAACCACCCTATTAAACTCACACTGCCTCCCAAAGGTTTTAACACCGCTGGAAGTTTTCCACAGTTTTGTCAAGTTACAACTTACTGAGATTTTATGTGAGAGATTAAATCTAAGTAGTAGGAAAAAAACAAATGTGAGTAAAAAGTGTGGCGTGTATTTCCATCATCTGCTAAATAAGATAATTGTATCTGTATTCAACCTTTTTTTTATTTAAATAGAGGATTTACAACTTTACTGAGTGTAAATTGTGTTGGAGTTAAATTCAGTGAAAAATTTGAAAGCCATGCAATGTAACTTTTACTCTATATAGTGTATAAGTTATATTCAACTCTGCAGGTGTTACTTGTTTTCTTAGCGCAGTTCATTTGTGTGTAATCACAGTAAAAGTACAGTTGTTGTTTTTTTTTAAGTATTCTGTTGTTTGTTCCAAAACATAGTAAAAATACATCAGCACTGCAACCAATCAACACATGTTTCTTAGGATATAACTTTCTCCTTGAGAAAGTTATATCCTAAGCTGTCATCTCGAAGATCTCAATTCAATGTTTGATCCAAATCGCAAATTAAAAAATGACTAAGCAAGTAGAGCATTTACTGGGAAAAGAGCCCACAGTGGCCATGAGTGTCTACAAAGATCAACAACTAAGATGAAGGAATCTAGTAGTCAGAGATGTGATCTTTGAAAGAAGCCGAAACAAATAGATTGTTGAAATTGAAAATTCAGAAACTGGTAAAAAAAAAAAAAAAAAAAAAAAAAAAAAAATATATATATATATATATATATATATATATATATATATATATATATATATATATATATATATATATATATATATATATATATATATATATATATATATATATATATGTGGAAAGAAAAACAAGGAGATCCTTTTTCCAGCCACAAAGATTCTCTGTTATGCCAAAAAATGGACCAAACAGTGGGACCCACAGTGGACCAGGCAATTCCACACATGAAAACACTGCTATTATTTAGTTCCTCCCAACATAAAAGAACATTTTTAGAAATTGATCTTGTTTTAAGACATGATTTCTAATTTTAACTGTTCAACATGCATATTTCTAAATTTAAAAACCTTAAATCAAGACATCATGTCAAGTGAAACTATCTTGCTGCATGGAAAGGTGATTTCACTTAATTTGGGAGGTTTTTCCCCTGGGATTTAGTTTTCTTTCTTGATTTTAGACGACCCTTATTTGCAGTGAACCTGCACCTGGAAATGACCGATGATCTTCCCGACCTCAGTGAGCGATTGAACAAACAGGAACGAGGCTGAGATGAGACCAAATGTAGAACAGTTCAAGGAGTATAAATACTATTTTATTTCTACATTCCGCACATCAGTATTCCCCCCATTGCTTAACACTAATAAATTAAAAGTAAGCTGTCAATTCAAGTAGGTAAGCAAATTGATTTTTAATTAATTTTGGCGCTTGGTAAGATAAGAAAAAAAAAACATCTCCATTATCTTTCTTCAAGTGCAGCATACTCATGTTTAACAGATCATTTTACTCACTTCCTGAAATGAAGGGAACATATACTTTATGCAAGAACTGTTTGCTTATTTTCAATCTTTTTTTTCCCTCTTTTCTTTGTTTTTTTTTTTTTTTTTTTACAGTAAAGTTTCAAACTCTCAAAGGAGAATCAACAAAGGTTAAAAACCACTCGTGTAAAACAAGGAGTTCCATCCACAGCAGGTGCAACGCCGTGCAAAAACAGCTGATTAGCACCGCCTCGCTGGCGGGAGGGGCGATCAGAGGGATGTGTCTCATATTCTCCAGGGAATGACTAGAAACACGTGTCATACCGTGTATATGTGATGTGACTGACGTGATTGGAAGAGTGATTTCCTCAGCTGACAGATGATTTAATTGGTTTGCTCTGAGTGGCTGGGAGAAAAGCTGCAATGAGAAATATACTGGTGGCAAAGGATCATTACATGTTTGACCTTCATTTGCCAAAAACTGATAAGTGCGTCCATCATCAAAAATGTTCCGAGTAGATAAACAGAGCTTTCACCTCCTGTCTTAGAGGGCTAAGAGCTAAGTGCCTTGCCCACAGGCACCTTGACCAGAGCAATTAAGTAAGGGAAGATGGCATGCAGAGAGAGCGATATATTCAGCAAGTCGTTTTACTGCAAATCATTTTGAGAACCAATAAAGGTTTAATTAAATTTAATTTAGATTTTATACCTTCATTATGAAGCCCGGTGATTATTTCTCAGCCCTTTGGCAGCAGAGCGTCAGGTTTTCTGTGCCTGCTGGAGCTTCCATGAACACAGACACAACACACGCTAATAAACTGCTTTGTTCAGCCATGCCTAGCGGGGAAAATTAACCAAACATAGAGACCATGATTGTTCTTTTTGTCTGTTTAAGAACACAATCAAGAAACTTATCAGATTGTGTTTTTTAGAGAGAACGTTGTATAACTTTTGGGGTTTTCAGAAACCTTATGCAGAGCATGGAGCAGCTGTCAACCATCAGTTCTGTTATAATACCAGGTTGTAAATGTCAAAAGCACACCTGGATTCCCTGAAAGTCAGTTCAGCAAAAGAAATAATTTCCTATCAAACCACTTTTCTAAAGTGTGAGAACAATCATTTAGACAGAAATGACATTAACGGCGGTTAAGTTGTGCTGTTGGTACTTAGCGACACAAGAAGAGAATGTAGAGATGAGTTATAAATCTCTGAGGTTTAGCTGTTCTTTCTTACTAAATTGATATTTATGCTTCAAGCAGAATGACTCATTTCTCTTTGCTGCTTGATCTTTGTATGCCTGGTGGACTTAGAGTGCAGTTAGAGGCACATCATGTCTCATATAGCACAGCAAATGTTGAGAGGGAGGGCCAGTGATCCTTATTTAGAGAACAATCAAAGAGAAAAAGATGATTTTCCTGAATTAAGTGCAACTTTCAACATCAAAATACATCATTTCAAATGGTTCTTACCAAAAGTTTTCCATATGTTGAATATAAATTTGTTTGTTTATCCTCTTCATTTTTCAAACACTTAATTATCTACTCCCAGCTACAGATTTATACACTTGACATTTTCCATGCCATTTAAA